GTTCTTCCAGTTTGTCCCTGGGATAGTATTACAGGTAGGCCACACCCCTGGGGAAACTCCCCCTAGACTGACCGGCCGCTTAGGACGCAGTCATGTGATCCATCATGGGAACCACCACTCACAAGTGGAGTCCAGCCAAGTTGACACATCTTCAACTATCACAGGAGGTCTTCTTAAGAGTCAGTAGAACATAGTGTAATCTCTGCAACCAGTCTGTGGTGAAAGCAATGTAACCTTGACAAATCACTCAAGCCCCTGTGCCTCAATTTCCTCATTTGTAAAATGTTGATAATAACAGTATCACTTTCACGGGGCTGTTGCTAAGATCAAGAGAGTGAAATTGTTTAAAATATTTAGAAGTGCTTGGTATTACGTAACTATTAGTTGTTATTGTTACCTTGTGCCAAACATTAAGTTAAATATATATTATTCATATATTTTATATATATTATATCTCATGTAATATTGATAGCAGTCCTCTGAGGAGACAAGTATCATCTCCATGTTATAAACAAGCAGCCCTAGATCCAGAAATGTGGAGCCATGCTTTAAACCCAGGAATCTTAGAATCCCTAGTATGGCCTCTTAATCACCACACTGTGTAAAGCTCCAGGTCCAGAAAAAATGAGACATGTTCATAGATAGTAACAAGATGATATTATGTTTACAGTTCTCTGAACTGCGCTATACTATGGTACACTGGTGTTTGGAGGAGGGGTTCTTTAATTCAACCAAGAGATCAGATACTTCCTAGAGATCAAATGTACCCAAGGTCTTCAAGCATAAATGATGAGGAGGAAAAGACATTGTAGGCAGATCCTGGGACATCTGGGCACCCACAGATCCTCTCAATTTATACTAGAGTGGCAAGTTCCAGGCAGGAAAGGGAGACAGTTGAAGCTGGAGAGGCAGGCAGTGGCCAGATTGCCTTTAAATAGAGACAAGGAGCTTAGGAGCTCTGGTGCACAGTGCCTAAGGCATTTGGTTGCTAACCAGAAGGTTGGTGGTTGAAACCCACCAGCTGCTCTGGAGAAGGAAGATGGGGCAATTTATTTCCACCTCAGAAACCCAAACGGGGTCTTATGAGTTGAAATTGACTTGATGGCAGTGAGTTTGGTTTTGTTTGAGAAAGGAGCTTGATTTTGTAGGTAAGGAACGACTGTGAGAGGAGTTTAAGCCGATAAACATATTGCAGTGTATGACCTGGAAGGAAATCCGGAGGAATCCCGGGTGATGAACTTCTTAACCCAGCCACTCCTGCTTTGGCATGGAGAGTTTCAGTAGACCGGAGTACCAAGAGCAAGGACTCTGCTTATTCCCGCCTCTGAAGCTGAAGCCAGTCTAGGCATATAATAGTTGGTCAATGAATATTTATGTAACCAACAAGTATGTATGTCTAGCAACATGTTGTTGTTATGTGCCATCGAGTCAAACCCGACTCATAGCCACCCCTCCTTGGGTTTCCGAGGCAGTATCACTACGGAAGTAGGATTGCTCAACCTTCCTTCCGAGGAGTGGCTGGTGGGTTTGAGCCGCCAGCCGTCTGGTTAGCAGGCAAGTGTCTTAGCCACTATGCTACCAGAGCTCCCGTCTAGCAACATAGCTGGTGGGAAAGGAGAGGGCCTAAAAGTTCGGTCCTCCAAAATGCCCGTAACTCTGAGTAGCAACATCTAGGAACCGCTGGGCTCTCGTGAGTCCATGTTGACCCTGACTCTTTACAGCATTGTCCAGGCAGGGAAATGCCAGGTCCTAGGGCAGAGTTCCTGTCAGGTGGGAGGATCTGTCCGGCATATACCTTCAAAAACAACTAAATATGAGATTACGTTCACGTCGCCGCAGACAGCAGATGGGGTGTGATGTGCAGTAGGGCCTGACGAGGACTCAGCTTGCTTTTCTCTATCACAGAACCCTATTTCCTTCGCAGCAATTATCGTAAACTGTATTGATTTCTCTTCCTTGCTTACAGTCTCTCCGCCAAAAGCCTGCAAGCTCCGTGACAGCAGAGGTCGCACTCATCTTGGCCTCCAGAGTGTCCCTGGAGTCCAATCTGGGTGAACAGGGCTTCGCAAAGAGCCCAGGTGGCGTTTCCCGCCCCTCAATGACCTCAGTGACCTGAGGCGGTTGTGAAGGGCAGGTAGTGCCGCGTTTGCAAGGGGCGAGGCCGAGGGGCCCGGGCTAGGCCCGGCAGCCGAGGGATAGAGAGGCAAGCTGCGCGTGACGACGCCGACGGGCGGAGCCGCAAAGAGAATGACCGTCTGCCGCCGCGGTGTGCACGCAGCGTGGCGGACCGCTGGCAAAGCGAGGGCCGCCTCCCACGTGGCATGCTGGGAGTTGTAGGCCCTTTCGTCTCCCTTCCAGCGACTTGCTCTAGAAAACCAAGAATGGACTAGCGGCGAGCGCCTTAGACCCCAGCCTGTGAACTTTGGGCGTGTAACTTCTAAAGCGTCCAGAGAGCTGACACTCCTGGCGGCGCTCCTCGACTAAGACTACGTCTCCCAGGAAGCGGGAGGCAGGGCTTCCGGCGCGCGGTGTACTGTGGGAATTGAGGTCTGCCGCGGCGCGGCCCCAGCTTCCCGCCTGCCGCGGGGCTGCAAGGGGACTACAGTTCCCTTCGTCCCGACGCCGTCTCGCGGCCTCCTCGGCGTCAGGGGCTTGCGAGCAGAGTGTCTCCAAGATGGCCGCTTGGGGAAGGAGGCGCCTTGGCCCGGGCAGCAGTGGCGGCAGCACCCGAGAGAGGTGAGGTTCAGGGCTTGTTGGTTCCCCGCGACACGCAGCTCAGGAGCCAGGGAGCATGCTGGGGTCTCCTGAGGCTGCGGCACTCACCTGGCTTCAGCCCCCAAGCTCCGTCTTCCCGCCTGCTGTCCTCGTCCGCCACTGGGCACGCGGGGATTCAGCCCGGGAGGAACCAGTACCCCGGTGGGAACGCCGACGCCCACTTGGGTAGGGCTGAGGTCAGCTCTTTCGGGCGCGAAATTGCGGCGGGCTCAGGCGAGAGAATATTGGCTGGCCGGGCGAGGTGGGCCGCAGCCATCCGAGGCGGTGAGCGGAAGCCTAGCCACACCGTGTGAAAGGGCCCGGCTGTGCCTTGCGCAGGCCTCAGAGGCCAAGCTTGCTCGCGACCCGAGCGCTTCCCGCAGCACTCACTTGGCCTGGCCATGCGCATGGCCCCCAGGACTCGCAGCGTGGCAAGGAATGGTTCTTGGGGCGAGCTTCTACTGGCCGCGGATGGGTGGGAGGGGTGAGGAAGGGGAAGCAGTGACAAAAGCAGACAAGATACGGAAAGGTAGTGCGAGACCTCACGTTTACGGAGGTGAGAGAGAGCCTTAGTCCTATTGGATGTGTCTGACCCGGGCAGAGAGGCGACCTCTTCCTGAAGGGACGATTCTTGGACTTCTCGAGGATTCTCTGCAAGCGCCCCTACAGTGGAAGTCCTTTAAAGTGACCTTTCCTGGTAAATGATGTGTGAGTAGGAGTTTAGGAGAATGTTTCTTTCAGAGTGGAAAGCAGTTTGGATAACTGATTGCTAGAAAATGACATTGAAATGGTTTCGTATTTCATGTTGAATTTTTTGTTGTTGCTTCTGGGAAGCAGTTTCAGCTACTAGAAGCCATTAGAGCTGTTCAGCCACTAGAAGTTTGGGAGAAGGTATGTGTTGGTAGGACCACCCGGATTTATTTTTTAGTGAGGATCTAAACAAAAATTTTTTTGTCAACTACTTTTCCTTGATTCCATCATACGTTCATTACTGTTGCCTACAGAGGGCTTATCAACCCAGAAGTTTCTTCCTGTTTGGCAGTTGTGGTGGTGGTGGTATGTGCCGTGGAGTCGGACCCGACTCATAGCGACCCCTCCTGGGGTTTCCGAGGCAGTATCAGTACGGAAGTAGATTGCCCCATCTTCCTTGCTTCCGAGGAGTAGCTGGTCGGTTTGAACCATCCGCCTTCTGGTTAGCAGTCAAGTGCCTTAGGCACTATGCTACCAGAGGCAGTTATGGTAGACCTCTTTAATTCATATTTTATTCTTGAGCTCAGAGTTGTTTATTATTGTCCATTCTGCATTTCCTCTTCCTTGGAAACACAGCATCAAGCAAATATTTTTGTTTTTCTTACTCCCAGCTGGTATTTCTTAAAGACAGAACAACCGTAGAAAGAAGCTATCTCGATGTTTCCAGGTGGCCTTAAAACTAACAAACATTTTCAAGATCTTTAATGCAAACATTAATCTGTTATTAATTGGAAATAACTGCTTAAGGAATTCAGAGTAGCACAGAAAAAGGCATTTCTTCCGATTGATTAAGTTGGAAGGGCCCTAGGGATGCTCTAGGCATCATTATAGGGGCAATGCCAGCAAACATTAAGCAAGAATATAGAACATATTGGGGATTTTCTTTCTTTCTTTTTGCCCAAACCAGTAGTAGTCTGTAGGTGGAATCCAGTCCTCAATTGTTTCCTTTTTTTTTTTTTTTCCTTAGCTTAAATTTTGGTGAAAATATACAAACTAAAACTGCCCCATCTCATGGTTTCTAGACAGAATGATCAATATCATTAGTTACGTTCTTCATATTGTATTAACATTCTCCTTATTTCTGTTATAGTTGTTTCATTTCCATTTCCCTGCTTCCTAGTCTATGCTGTAAAGTAGCATCTATGCTATAAAGTAGCTGTTGACCCTTTGGTGTTACACAGGTTTGTGCTTTTTTTTTTTTTTTCCTAAGGAACTCCATACTCAAGGGTAACAATTTTTGCTCTTGGAGTTACACTGTTAGTTTAAAGGTGACTTCAGGGGATAGTTTCAATTCAAAGTTTGAAGAGCATTGCAGAGCTCTGGGTCTCAGGGTCTTCTCCAGCCTCCGTAGTTTCAGTAATTCTGGATTCTTTAAGAATTTAAAGTTCTGTTCCACATTTTTCTCCCATTTTATCAGGATGCATCTATTACGTGATCAGAATGTTCAGTGGTGATGCCCGGGCACCATCTAGTTCTTCTGGTCTCAGGCAGAGGAAGCAGTGGTTCATGGGGACAGTTAATCCTGTAGTCTATTCCCTCCTCTAACTCGGGTTTCCTTCTTTCTCAAGAGCGATAGTTGTGTCTTAGATGGCCACTCTAAGCTTTTAAGACCCCAAGCACTACTTAACCATATTGAGAAGTAGAATATAAACTTTAACAACCATATTATGCTAACTGACTGGATTGTCCACGAGACCTTGGCCCTGAATCCTCAAACCAAGAGAGCTAATCTGATGAGGTGATTGGTTATCCTAGTTAGTATCAGTATTTGTAGCCCCCCCCCCCTTTTCTTTGGTCATAGTGATTGTTGCAACAAGGAGCTGTAGTATGGAAGGCATTAGGATGCTAATCAGAAGGTCAATAGTTCAAACCCACCACCAGCTGCTCCACAGGAAGAAGCTGAGGCAATCTATTTCTGTAAAGATTTACAACGTTGGAAACTAGTGAGGATTGCTGTGACTTGGAGTGGACTGGATGACATGTAGCATTTGCCCATTCATAGCTTTTCTCTATGTTGACCCTCAGTTTTTAAAATAATTAAATTAGTTGCCAACACTTATACATTGAGAGAGATCACATAAAACTTTCCTGACATGCTGTATAAAGGCTGTCTCTTTTGGGTAAGGCTTGTGCTCTCTAGTTAGTGCCTGACTGCCAGGTCTCTATAGGGGTTCCGTTGCATCTTTGGCCTGGAATTGAAGGTTTTACTCACACATGTAGATGTGTGTCAGTCAAGAATGGGACTTCTGATTTTGTGGTTTGGGTAGCACCATTTCCCTCCTTCCAGATAACATGGTGTGGCTAGGGGGCACCCCTTTGTTTCCCTTTGCTGGAGGAGTCCTTTGCCTGAGCCCAGTTTCCTCAAGACCTCCCATTATGAGCATTGGAGGGAGACATAACTGTGTCGTGGGCCAGTGAGCTGCTTTCTGGGGCACACCCCCATTTCCCGTCATTTGTTGGAAGACTCTTGAGGTGGGCCTGCCTAGATGATGAGGTTAAGTTGTTATTGGGTCTTATGACTGAAGTAAGGTGTTTATGGCTATGTTGAATGACTTTGTTCCAGGTCAGATTTATGCTGACTCAAATCTCAGTCCACACTCTGAGACCACTTTTCCAGGTTGCTGCACTTAGTTGGGATCTGCTTTATGCTGGAGTAGAGCAAAAGTTCTGGCAAACTTTCTGCAAACTCTGAAGCATGCCATGTATTTAAAGGCCCTGTTTAATGCCAGATTCCTGCAGGCATTACCATTGTCAGCTGTTTGTTAATTATGGTCCAGCTTAAAGCTTCTTGTTTTTTCTGGTTCTCAGACTGTGCTAATTCAGTAGCCACTAGCCACCTGTGACAATTAAATTTAAATGAAATAAATGAGGAAATATAGCTCCTTGGTTGCAGCTGTCACATTCCAGGTGTTCTGTAGCCCCATGAACTATGGCTGCAGTGTTGGACAGAGCAGATAGTTTCCAACATCACAGAAAGTTCTATCTAAAATAAACTAAAACCAAACCTGCTGCCATCAAGTTGATTCTAACTCATAACAACCCTATAGGACAGAGCAGAACTGCCCCATAGGGTTTCTAAGATTGTAAATCTTTATGGGAGCAGACTGCCTTTTCCTTTTTCCTCAGAGTGACTGGTGGGTTTGAACCACTGACCTTTGATTATCAATACAGTACTTTAACAACTATGCCAGCAAAGCTCCTTCTCTGTCTAAAATACGAGGAGTGGAAAGAGCAAGATGATAGCTGCTAGCATGTTGATTTTTCTTTCCATTTCATTAAATCTAGTGAATCAAGAGTGTAATGAAGAATATCAGACTCTGAGCTATAATCTGAGTTCTTGTTCAAAATCCTACACATGGGCAGCAAATACATGAAACAGAATGCTATTTGTCCTATCAGCATCTCTGAGATACACTTGCCCACTTAGGAAAACACAGTGCAGGTATATGTATGTTCTGCCACCTGTATGCTAGCATGGCCAGCTCCTTTGGCCCTGCTAGGCTTATGTGGGCTGCTCATCTTCATTCTCACAGGACTCTAAGTACCCCCAAGTTCTTGGTGATTGCTGGAATATGAGTATAGCCATGTGCTTGGAGTTCCCTTTCTTATAATCATGTGAAGATGAACTTGGATCTGCTTCTGACCATGATGTGAGTCAGGAGCAGGCTGTTTAGAGGCCTGTGGTGGCCAGAATGCTGGCTCGTTGGGACTCATTAGTCAATTTTTATAAGTAGGTTATTTGTATTGTTTCCTCCTTCCTGGCCTAGCATTTTTTAGAATGACAGTTCTCACCATCTCTCAGCTTTCCTTGGCACTTGTCTTGCTCTTTGATAGCTTTGCTTTTGTCTGTGAACTTAAGAGTTGGTACTGGATGGCTGAAGGAGGGTTTAGTTCCCAGTTGAGCTGAGTAGATGGACCACAAGTCAGGTGGCTCTCACTGGGCAAGTTAGTTCCCATTCTGGGGTGATGTACCCCTCTTTATGATTTGGGCCTTCCCTTTGAGAGCTGAGCATCCTTAAGGTTCTTGAGTCTTTGATCTCCTCAAAGCCTCCCATTCTGGCTTTTGTGTGTGTTAGAGGTGGTTTGTTCATCTTGGCCTGGAGGAGCCCAGCAGAGGCAGGATTTGCACATAGGTCTGTAGGTGTTCAGTCAGTGTATGTGGTGTTCTGCTTGGCTGGCTCACTCATAGACAGAGTCCTGCATGGTGGATCCTTCAGGTTGGATATTGTAGG